TCGCTAAAGCACCATCCCTCACCAATCGGACATGGTTGGGAGCTGGTTGGTGGTTGCTGTCGCCCTGTACGTCACACGCGACCCGCACTCCCGATGCATCTACCTGCACCAAGGCCAACTGAAGAGGGACAGGAAGATGAGGAAGATGAGAGCGATGATGATGACGAAAATCGAGTTGCTGCTGTCCAGAGAGGCGATTCATCGGAATCGGAGGATTCAGAATGTAGCGAGGCAGGGTGCTCTGATTCAGACTGATACGGACTCTCAGTGTCATATTGATACATTTAAAAAAAAGCAGAATTGTGTTTCATTTGTGTTATTGTTCAAAACTTGCCATTTCTCGAGGCAGCATTTTTGCGTTATTACATGTTGTTTGAAGTGTTCTCATTTGCTAACTAGTCAAGTTACAGCTAATAAAAGTATTTTATTTGAAGGTTAAGTAGTTGTATATCTTGTCATACATTCTTATTTCATGGTAAAATATTAATATGCAGATTATTGCTTATAAGTCGATCAGTACTCAAAACGTGTGTAATTTCTCGACCGGGTGGCGGCCATCTTGGATTTGTGGGTCCGAACGATGTCATAGCGCCAAACTGATGTCAGAAATGGAATCCTTGTGGTCGACTTACCCCAAAAAGTGCATTTACACATGACTCTAGGCGCTCTGGTTCAAAAAGTTAATTTTTTAAGATGGCGCGAGCAGCCATCTTGGATTTGGCCCTCTAGCAAAAATTGCCGGGATTTTTGGGAGGGACCTTGGGTCTATATTTTTTATAAAAGGTCCAATGATGTCAAATCAAGTGTCAAAACATCTTAGCAGAAGAATGGTCACGGAATTGAGGTTCTAGACCCAACTAATAGTATTTGTACTTATACTTCAGTTAAGTTGAGTAGCCTACTTATTCCAACACTGCATGCAAATAGTCAGCAGTCAAACGGCAGGTAAACAGGATTCTTTATAAGCTAACCCATCTCAAAAACTTGGATAGAATTTAGCCAAAACATTACCTGGTATAGAATCGGATGTTGTCGTCGGAGCCAGCAAACCGCTGTAAGCAAAACTCTCGCTGGACTCTTAACTCCTGCAGTTACTTCTGCAGATCCTCCACTGTTTTGGAGTTGTCTTCTGTAGCTTGAGAGGACATGTCCAGTGAAGCTGGTTCAGGGGTTGAGCAGTAATCATGGTCACGGACATCGATGTGCTCTTCCTGCTCCTCCCGAGAGACTGGTTCAGTGGGCCGCTCCCTCCTCTCCCAAACACTAGCCCGCGGTGTTTGAGCAGTGAAGTGATTCCACTCAAACAGAGTTGGGACAGCACCTTTCACAAGCCTCCTACGGCCATCAAGGGTTTTTGGCTCTATTAGTTGATCCGTAGCGAAGTGACGACTGCAGACCTTGGAGTGAGAGGAGATTGTAAAGTTATCGCGTCGTATTTTAACCAGCCACTGAAGCAGCTGTCTCTGGAACTACATCTCTGGTCTTGCACACGTCACCAACACCAAGATGGCCGTCACGTTGGCACATTTCACTTCTTTCTTTCTGAATGAAGCGAAAAGTATTAAAAGAGGTGAAAATCACTCCAAGTCTGGCCATGTTGAGAACTGTACAAACACAAAAGGGGAGTTAGTCGGTTCCGTAAGAGCGGGACCGGCTTTACAAGGTTTCGGTGAGTAACACGAGTGTAATGTTTAAGTAGCGTATTTTTCAGTCTTATATTTCAACAGTTTTACGACAAACTGACTTTTTTGACATGGAAATGATTTTTTAAGATTGACAAACATCATATGTGTAATTTGTGGCACAATTCAAACGGGATCGAAAGATAATCTTTCTCTCCCCATTGACTTCAATACATACTTTTTCCGAAATAAGGTCCCATGGGTCGGAACTTCGCCTCTCTATGAAAACATGTGAACATTGATGAACTGCAGTAGCTAAATACAACGAGGACGAGAAAAATATAGCTGCTAGCTTAATGATAATGTTAGCTAGCAAAGCAACTGTTAGCTGCATTCTCTGCTTTTACTACAGTTGATTAGATTTGAATATAAATATGAATAGTTGCAGTTTATAAAGACTTGTCACAAACAGCCAAGCTTTGGTCTGACGAAAGAAAAAGGTTCTTGGACACAATCAAATACATCTATGGTTTCGTTGGTTTTACTGTCAATAACATTTGTTGTTTCTTTCACATTTTTGTTTAATTGTTTTTAACGTTTTGGACCAATTACATTGGAAAAGTCGGAAAAAGTGCAAACCAAACGTTTAAGTGCCAATTGGTACAATAACTAAAAAAGAGTCAGTTATTATTCAAAAATGATATAAACATTACACAACAAAAATCAGTACATTTCTCTATTCATTCAAACAGTAATAGTTTGAATTAATTAATCAACACATGACCTATTGACAGCACACTTTTTTTCTCAGAAAACGAAATATTGCTAATAAAGAGAGAAGAAGCACTGAAGTAATTACAGGTGTGGGTAGGTATCGTTATGTTTAGTTCTTTAGAGTGGCGGCATTGTGGTAATTGTGAAACCACAACGAACCAGATCAAATGTAAACAATATTAAAACCAAACCTTGGTTCTGACGTGTGAAGAGGCCTTAAAAAATGCATAAGAAAGCTGAAACACCACTTTGTTTGCATTCTGTGAATAGTAGCTTATCCAAAGGCAGAGTTGCATAACTAAAGATATAGTAATTGAAAAGGTGTAAAATAAAGTCATTATACCTCGTCTTTCTGTTAGGCATGACTGCTTACTAACAACCTGCATAAACGGATTGTTTGGGAGCAACAGAGGCAAATTGTAAGCCCTTTGATGCTACAGAGGAATTTAGAGCTTTCTTCTCCTGGAAAATAGCTGTGTGCTGTGTCTGAAATTAAATGAAAGAAGCTGAAATGCTTTGTAGAGCTGAGAGGAACTGAGGGTGATAATTCTTTGTAAATTTGTCATTACCGTCGACCCCTTTCACACGGTAATCAAGTTTCAGTTTGTTAATATAAAAGTATTGATCACAGCCGCTTTAAAGCTGCATTTCTCAGTTTCATTGCTCCTTGCCTTCGTACGGCAGGATGAAATGTGTATTGAATCTCATTGCTCGCTAAAATGAATGTTGTTTTGTTTCACATTTACTTTTTTATTGTGTTGACTTATACAGAACACATTTCCACACATTTCCGATGAAGAAAACAAATGAATGTTGAAATGTGGGTCTGCCTTCGACTGTATAAAGAAGTCTCAGTGGAGAAAGTCCCTGCTGGCCTTCATGTTCTCATTGCCTGTGGCAGGACGAATGAGATAATATGTAGTCATTGTGCGATCTGGATATACTCACACATGCCGCTCTGATATCCTACATCAATGGGCTATTGCAAGTTAATGACCAGCTCTGTGAAGGCCCATTTGTGCGGCCATATGGTTGTGGAGAATCTCATTTGGCTGTGCACTCCCATAAAGGCCTGACTCTAAAGAAAACACAAAGCCATTTCTCTGCTGTTGTGAAGTCTTTCGACCCTCTAATAACCGTTTTCTGCAGGCGTCCTTTTTTTCTCTTGTTGCAACGATGAACACTGTATGAATTTGCATAATCATCTAAAGGTAAATGATAGTGTTGCGGCGCTCTGCTCTGGACTTCATTTGAATGGAAATTACACCACCTTTTTGGTATGAAAGGAAAGTTGTTGAAGCGATAGCAAAATGGATGAGAAATGGTGTATTCGCTGTAGATGGGTATCTATCCTCCATCTCTTTGCAGGGTCTTCTGCATTTACACCACAACATGGATGAGTGAGGGACAGCAACCTCACATCGAAAAGAGTTTGGGAACAACATTTTTTATTCATGGGAATTGTTTGGAGTCAAAGGAGCATAAGACAATAATAATTAACTGGTTGAAAAAAGCCAAGTACCAACACAAAAAATCAAAGTGAACATACACACCGACTGATTTCACATGAAAATGAGAACAAAAACCTTCAGCAATAAATAATGACATAAAAAACAACATATTGCTGGAAGAGAAATTCTTAAAAATGAGACATGAAATTAAGCTACACGATGAACAGAAGAAAAACAAATGCAAAAAGACGAGTTGAGCAGACGAGAACATTGACGTCAGTTAAAAAAAGGAAACAAAAATGAAACACCTGTAAGTCAGTAAGGTGCTAGCAATAGATTTCCAAATCCATCATATTCTGTCTTTATTCTCTTGTTCTGTTTTTTAAATTTCCAATAAAAAAATAAATAACATGATCAAAGCAAGTTCAGAATAAGGAGGAGTTCCTAATACAAGATCTGAGGGAGATGTTTTCTATTTGACTGACAGCTTCTGATGGTGAAATATTCATGCGACTGAAGAGAAACACCATCCAGAGAGACTAGACGTCTAATCTAACAACATTTGCTCCCCGCCTAAACAAATGTTTCTGTGCACATCATTTTTTATCTCCAGGCATCCCTGGGTAAAAATAATAAAATGACTTCTTTGTCGCGTTGCTACAGCAGTGAAATCAAATCAAATGGTCTGTCTATACAAGAGAACCTTTTAAAAAAATCAACAGAAACTTGAATTTTCTGTACAATATTGACCCGCAAAGCACAACGGCTATGATGTATTAAAATATGTAAACATATTTGCTGTTTTGACACAGTCGTCTGTGACAACAGATAGAATCACACTGGTTCACACTGGAGTCTTTAGCCTGGATTTTTTTTTTTTTTTTTTTAAAGATTGCAATAGTTAAATCCACAAATCTCAAACATTTCAGGAAATGTATAGAAAGCTGGACAAAAAAACTTTAAAGAAAAGAAAAAATTCTATCAGATTTAAAATTCAGAGAAATATCAGTGTGATGTGCATTTTCCCTGGTGGATCCACTCGTACACGCTTGAACACCATCTAGAATTTGGTTGCTATGCGTAGCAGTCCAATCCTTAGCTGAGACGTGGGGGGGGGGGGGGGGGGGGGGGGGGGGGGGGGGGGGGGGGGGGATATTGAGATACATTACTGTATCACATCTTGCAGAGCGGTAGGTAACTATGCACTGCCGAGTCAACCCTGACTGGTCATCATCCTTCAAAAAAGGACCTAAATTCAATAAATTAATAAATTACTTACTAAATGAATAAATAAAAACAAACAAAAAAGTAGAAACGAAACAGCTTTCATTACACATATACTTAGCTCATTATCGCATCCATGAAAGCTACATTTAATGAAACCGTTTTGTAATGTGAAATCATTTTTTGACTTCCAACTTCCCGACAATCATAGTTTCTTGAGGTCCCTCACTTACACAGATGCCAGCACCACGTCACATACACCTCACATGCATGCTCAGAATGGCCGAAATGACAGTGATCGTATTTTACAGGGTTACAATGGGCAAGGTCGTTAGAACTCCAAGGATCACACACCTCTTGACAGTCACTTAGGGTCGCGTGGATGTTTGAGCGATGTTATTCACACTGCCAAATGTCTCCAGCAGGGACTCCTTAAAAAGATCCACGCTGAGTCCCGTTGAAGTTGCACTGCATTGTCTCTCTGTAAAGCTTACAATAGTAAGTGTGCTTCCATAAGCTAAAGTTCTTTTGTAAATGTTTCAGTGACTCAGTAAGCCTTGAGTTCTTGAGATATTTTTATCCTTTTTAAATCACAGTTGCCAATATGGTACTGTCAAAATGTTCATTACTGTGTTCCAAACAGTTTATTTTTCTATGTGTTGGGAAATGACTTGAGTTCTATACATAATATTCCTTGTCCTTGTCTTTCGGTCTCTTGCTACCAGCGCTACCTTTGGCGCTGCCACTGGTGCTTTATCCTTCACCACAGCGCCATTGGTTTGCGCCGAGTGTGCTGATGTAGTTGCGCGTCTCGTCCACCTGGTAGGAACCCTCGTCCCTGTTCCTGTACTTGTACATGGGCGTAGAGGAGGATTGAGGATTGCAGAGGGGCGGCTGCTGAGACAATGCCCACCACCATGCCCGTGGTACTGCTGGATTCCCGGATCACCTCTGAGGCCCCCGGGGCACCCGCCGCACCACGCCGGGCACCGTGGGCAAGGCGGCAGGCACCGTGCGCAGCATGGGCGAGGTGATGAAGGGTCCCCGCGCTTGGTGCCGTCCAGATCGAAGGACGTGGGCAGGGGCAGCAGGACAATGTCCGGCTGCAGGGGTTTTACCTCGCGGTTGTTCATTTTCCCGGCGGGCAGCTTGGGTGGCGTGTCCGAGGGGACCGCCAGCGTGCCCCGGAGGTCGGGGCAGAGGCGCGGTGGGGGTAGTCCTACCTGCCTCAGAGGCTTTGCTAGGCCTCAAGTCCTTGGCCTCCCACTTGGGCGCGAGAGCTTTGTAGCCGCCTTCATAAGGCCCGATGTGGTCAAGATCTTATCTGTTACCAGGGAGAAGGGTGGTGTAAAATCTTCATCGTCAGTCGGGGGCAGGCTAGAGTCGAAAGCTTCTCCAGAGCCAAACCCCGAAATCACCATGCCATCATCATCATCATCATCATCATCATCACCACCATCATCACAATCATCGCTGCCTCGGTCCGACAAGCAAGGTACCCCCGCCTCAGTGGCCATGGCCAAGGATTCTTTGGTGGTCTCAATAATGATGAGGACGGGGCGAAGGGTTGGGGGGGAGGGGGATGAATGGAGAACGGGTGGATACAGAAGGGATGTCTATGGGGTCCTCGACTAGTATGGGGATAACTAGTTCCCCTCCTGGAAAGAGAGAAACAGACACAAGTCAGAAGGCAGAACGTCTTCGATCAGCAGAGCAAGAAGCAGCCGAACACCAAAGAACGTATAAAGCAAAGCTCAACAAAGGGAAGAAACTGAAGATAAACAAAGAAAGAAAGATGGAAAATACTGTACCAGTGCAAAAACAAAGAAACTCAAACAAGACCCAAACTGAAAGGAAAACAACAGCCATAAATAAAGTATACATTGCATCAAAAGGCTTTGAGGGATGCACAGGGGTGAGCCACAATAAATGGACTCCACAAACTAAGTCCTACATATCCTGCATGTTCTCAGATCAGCTTTATACTTCAATATCAACTAATCATGGTTATCAGATGTTCCATGTGCTGCCTGCGCCAACATAGCAAATGATGGGTTACATTTAGTTGCATGCTAAAATGCTGCATATTTCTCCACATAAATGACTAGTTGCGGTTTTTAAGAGGCGTGATTCATTTATCTTCAAGTGTAAATCCTTTTTAGTCCGTTCAAAAACTGAGCACTGAAAGATGCGCTCTGTGGATAAAAAGGAGCAGAGGGTATTAGCATTTGTTTGCAATTTAAGTGCAAGTCAGTGGACCCGATAGCCAGTTAACTAAGTCTGAAATGAAAAACTGTTTTTTGAAGGTGTTTTATTAAGCTGCTTAAGATGCACTTTTTAACCTCGTTGACTTATGCACAAGAACATATACTAACAACTGGAAAACTAAACTAAAAGAGAAAAAGGCCATGAGCCTCTGAAAGATGTGACTGGCTTTTTAAGTCTAAGACACAAACACAAGGCTGCATTGTTAATTCAAGGGAAACATATTTTCTCTTGGATTTTGTTTGTTTTTGACTTATGACAAAACCTTTTTTTCAAGTTTGCTCAAGTGGACGTAGTGCAGACATTTGGTGGGATAGATGGTCAAAGAAACAACGTGATTTCTTCCTGGGGGGTATACTACGAAGTTCAACAGAGACAGGGTTTCTTGAATTGCTGGCTTGACAAAAACACAAACCTACCCTACTCAGAGGTAACGGGTACGACAAAGGTGGTTATCAACCGTCTTTGTGAACCCAGACTTTCCTCCTTAGGCCATTTGCTAACCAGCGTTTTATTAGTTGCAATATACCAGCAATTAAAAACGTACTTGGCAATAAAAACATGCTACGGAGAAACAAATGTAGGCCCAATGCCATGCATACAGAAGGCTCTACTGTAACCGCTGGGCTTCATTTGGTGCCAGGTTAAGAGAGCCACCTTCGTAGTGTGGAAAGCTCTGGCTTTAGGCTCAACATACCTCTCTAACCCATTCACCTGGCTTCATAGTACACCCCTCATGAGGCCTGTGTTTGCGTTTGATGTGAAAAACAAAACTTGATGTTGGCTTAATTACACTTTTATATTAGTTTAAGCCAAACCAAGATCTTCTGCTCGAACTAAGTACGTAGCTTGGTTGGATTTTGTGTAGTTTTAATGCAGAACACCAAAGTGTCTGAAAGCTTGACCAAAAGAAAAAACGAAATTCGAGATTCCAGGAGATAGGGTTGGAGGGTCCCACACTGATCTACAGAAGCAAACTGTCCCAGCGAAAAGTCCCCAGTCACATGTCATAAAGAATAGCAGGTACAGCATTTAGTGGGCTCCCCTGTTTGCCCTAGCCTCTTGCCTTTTGACCCCTACAGTTACCACGATGGCACAAAGTCACCGGGGCAGTTCAATCACACCTGAATGTTTGCTAATATGTACTCTTTAGTGAGAAAATCTGGCTTGTAACCGACTGTGTTTACCATTTAGTACTGATATTATGTGCTTAAAAAACATTCCCACATTCAAATAAATCAATTTGGGAATGCTAGATACCACACGCTTTATTGGTTAAGCCTATTGTTGGGCGACTACAAAGACTTTGAAACATTCAGATGTCTATTGAAGCTGCTTATCCTCTTGCCAAAGTGGCTTGTTTGTACATTGCAACGGCTCACAAACAGGGCACTATAAAGAGATGCAAACCTTTAGGAACGATAAAAGAAAAAGAACACAAGAAATGAAGGAAAATTCAAATAATAATTAAGGCATTGCAAACAGAGTTTAGAGTTAGAGCAAACATTGTAAAAAAACATTCACAAAGTAAAGCCACAGATAGAGCTATCCAGAAAGGGATTAGTAATAAGTACGTAGAAACAACAGGTACAAACAAAGTCAGCTCGGAAAATCATAAAGCCTACCAAAAAAGAAAAAAAAACATTTTCAAAGGAAGAAAGCATACCATCAGTTTTTTCAACTTACATCAACAAATTGCCCGCATGATTTTGGCAGGAAGAAAAAATGTTTACAAAAGAAAGTTGTGTAAGAATGCCTTTGGACAAGTTAGGTTAGTTTCTCTTTTAGCAGTTTCTGATTAAGTAGTATATATTTCTCTTTTTAGACAGGGAGGCAACAACACATACATCCACACATCATGACATGAAAAATAATCTTCACCATTCTGTTCAGGATATCTTTTTTTTTTGATAATCATTACATTTTTGTATAAAAAGAAAACTGTATAACTATAATTCTTGCTTTGATATATAAGTCTCTTCGTAAATATCTACAGCCGGATTAGATGACTCTTTTTTCTTTTTTTTGCTCGACTTTGAACTTCATTAATGAACACAAATGGATGACTGTACATATCTTAGAATCTCTACGTAAAGGGATCGGGAGGAGGGAGTTGTGACGGGGGGGGGGGGGGGGGGGGGGGGGGGGGGGGGGGTGGGGGGGGTGGGACCTATGAACATACTAGGAAGGAAATGACATAGATGGGGGTGAACGTGTACATCAGTTGCCATGTCCATGTAAAGGCGGCACGAAGCGGTCGGGCGGCATTAGAGCTTTTGGCTGTAAGGAAGGGATGGGGATATACAGACAATGAGCATATACATGCCCATCTACAAAAGAGAACAGCACTCTCAGCACTGACAGTTTTACAAACCCTAAGCTGCAACTTCTTTGCCATGCACAAAAGTAATCCACTATTTAAATCCAAATTGCAATCAAAAAGTAGCTATCATATAACAGGAAATATTAGAAATCAGCATAAAAAACAGTTTGGAACACTTTTCACAGATAGTGGTGAGGGTGTACTTTGGAAGGTATCTTCTCTCGTTTCTCTATGGAGGATGTGAATTTGGAAACCCAATGCAGCCGTGTCCTTTTGACGCCAAATCTTTCAAATAAACCTCCTGTTTACAAAATAGTAATAATTCATAGAGAAAAGAGGAAGCATCATTCTAATTAGGGAGGAAATCATCATTACATTGGTAACTCTTAGCAAATATTAAAAATGTGAACATTTTCAGAAAAAGAAACATAGATACACATATATGTGTTTTTGAACATATATGTACAAAAAGACAAAATAAAAGAGATTGGCAAGCAAGAAAGAAAGGCATTAAATTTATCACACTATCAAAGATGAACAACCAGAAAGCACACACTGAGGCAGACAAAGAGGAGGGGGGACAGTTTATAGGCAAAGTGTCACCGCCTTCGCTTAACTAATAATAAAATACTTTATTATTAGTTACTTATACATTTCTCTTGTTAGTATTTTTTAAAACACGGGACAGGGCGTGCAATCTGGATGTACGTCAGAGAAAGAGAGGTCAATCAGACATGGTTTTTATTTTGGATTTGAGTTCCACTATAAGAAGTTGGGTTAATGCATGCTTAAGTAAGTTGCATTTAGGGAGAGTAATATACAATAACAATACAGCAAGCCATGGGACAGGTGGGGGGGAGGGGCTTAAGAAGGGGGTCAGTTAGAGGTCACTGCCACCAAAGGGCTGTGGGATATGTCGTCAGGCAAAGAAAGCATTCATCAGCAGGGGAAGGGTTCATCATGGTTGATGAATAACCAACATTATGTGGCTTTTAGGCGCACTGCATTCGCTCATTTTAGACTCAGTGTTTGGATGCTTTTTGTTATGTGCATAACCAACAGCCTTCGTTCGACAGATACACATGTTGGAAATGGAGTTCCACAAGAGGGCTCAGGATGGGGAGTTTTTATTATTATTATTAAACTATTATTATTCAATTACTATTATTTGCTTTATTTTGTAACAATACAGTTGTTATTAAGTACCTTTGGTGACTTCAAATAGATGTGAGGCTCTTTTTTTCTTCAGCTTTCAAGTTTTTTGTTAGTCTTCTGCAAACTGGTTACCTCATCTATTACGCATAACTAGGTTTATAATAATAATAATAATACACACTGTATTGATTATTTATTACCAATCCTGACGTCTTAAATGCTCTTACTCGGCTCTCTACTGTAGGAATGTAGCGCGTCACACAGCTGTGATATCATTCTACTGGCAGAGGCAAACTCCCCGCCTTGTTAAATAAACAATAACAGCACACAGTAAGTGATTTCATCCAAGGCTTTATTTATCCAACTCTGCCCTTGCTGTCGTGGCCTTGTTTGCATCCTTTAGCTGCATTCTCAGCTAACAGCTTTCGGCAACTGTTAGCTTTGCGCTATATCAACAAAACACTTGTTTGGGAGGGGAACCGCTGCAGTCGAGGGTCTCCAGTCAAGTCAGTGCAGAGGACCTTGATGTTTTGGTAAACACTTTAATCCTGTGTAAGCTCTTGCACAAGCGTTGCACATCTTGCTGCCTGTCTGAAGCAGACAAACACTGTGCTTTCTAATGGGTTTGCTTAACCAGAGTGTGTTTGTTTCCCGCACTCATCAAGATGGATGGGATTTTATTCTAAGCCTCTGCCTCCCTTGCAAATAATTCCCCCTCTCCGCTAGATCTACAGCTGAATTCTCAGTTTTCATGCAAAATAAGTCAGGACTTTAGATTAATAAATGTCGCTTATGCGCTAATGCTCACTGAATAGCCTTCGAATCAATGAGACAACCTGATCTTTTTAAACCACAGAAACGAGAGCATTAAAAACAAACTGAATTCCATGCATTCTACTTTTCATCATTCTAAAA